CAAAATATATATATATATATAAGAAATAGTAAAAAATGCTTTTAAATAATGTTAAATTAATCTGAAAAGTTCTTAATTTTTTTTTTTTAGGAATTTTATGGAGACTTTATACCAGTTGGGCCTCATCTGTTTTCATTAAATATAATAGGCTGTTACCAAGTAAGTAATTTTTATTGCTCTTAATGTAGTTGAGGTTATGATTACACATTAAGGAAGTGGTAATCAGTTCTTACCTAGACAATGTTCTAGCCTTCACAGTGGGCATTAATAGCTTTGTTCATTATTGCAAAGGAGTAGAAATAAAGAAATTTTGTCTTTAGTTCAAAGGACAAGAGTCTAAAAACTTTTACTAGTCTTTGTACACTTTCTCTAATCCGTTCACAACTCTCTATGAAATATTTAAAAAGTATTAAATCTGTTTTAAAAATAATGTTTAAAAATCCTGGAAAATATAATATTTAGATTTTGGTTTACTAATTAGAAGATGCAAATAAAGCTTTACATAAATTAACATTTTTTAAAAAGTTTGGTTGACTAATACATTATATTAAAAATTAAAGTTAAAATAATTTTTAAAAAAATACAGAGAGTATTTAAAATTATGATAAAGTTTGCTGATTTGTGACTAAATGATGAGAGGGACCTCTGAAGTGTTATATCAAGATGGTTAAGTTAATGATCCCTTAACCACAATTAATTTCAAATACTGTGAAAGCACTCCTCATTTTTAAAAATTTAATTACCTGTTGAAAATTATTTTCTAAAGTATTATTTGAAGAAAGTTTTGTTGCAGTATTACTTTAAAGCTTTCATAAGATTCTTTAGTGTTTAGTTTATAAATATTTGCAAATTTAAATGCAAAATAATGTAATTTTACTACACTGGCAAGAATAAGAAACTTACAATTAGACAGAAAGTATTAAATGCATGGTTATTATTATATTCTTTAGCTATTTAAATTTCACAGATTAAAACTTTTTCTGTCTTTTATAAATTACTATTGCTGATTAACTAGTAAGCGAACTTTATTTCTTATAGAATTGAAAAACTGCATGGCAAAAGGTTGACTATTTATGTATTTATTAATCTATTTGAGTCGTTTTTGCAATTCAGCTTAATTTTTTTGCAGCTAATATATAAAGGTTGAGAAATTTAAATGCTACAAAAATAATGATTCCACTATTGAAATCATACTCTCTTCATCTTGCATCATTGTTAAAAATCATATTTTGCCTTCCAGAGTTTGATTTTTAAAAAATCTCTATTTCCAATTGATCTCTATTTTCAATATCCAAAATAGTTTTAATTCATTTCACTTGTTTATCTTGTTGTCTGAATGAATAAATTGTTTTGTTGTCTCTTTAGAGTCGTTCTTTGAGTGCCAATCATCTTCAGAGATCAATACAGGGTCTTATTGCAATTTTGTTGGCTTTGAAAAAAATACCTGTTATCAGGTATCAGGATTCATCCGAAGCTGCTAGAAAATTAGCTGAAGGTGTTAAGGTGATGATCCAATTTATTCTCAAATTAATTTCTTTATTTCTATGTATTCTTATTTTACACATTTTAATATAAACTTGTCTCAATCTGTAATATGAAGCTTTTATTAATTGAATTTTTTTTCATTAAAAAAAAATAAAAATTACATTCTTCAATAACAGATTTTTTTTTAATAGATGTCGAAACCCCAGAATGTATCATTATTTATTTTTTTTAAATTTTTACCTGTTAAAAGTACCTGTACTGGTTATTGGGTATTCGGATTATTCTGTGAAAGTTGCTTTTAAATTAGCTGAAGATGTTTAAGCTGTGATCTAATTTATTCATAATTAATTCATTTCGCTATACTTTATAATTTTGCTTATCTTATAGTACATTTATTTCAGCTTTTCATTGTTTTTTAAATATTTGTTTAATTTAATTGTTATTTTTTTTTTTAAAAAAAAGGTGAAAATAATATTTTTTAAATTTGAATTTTTTTAATGGGTGCACAATCATTAGTAGTTGTTTCATAAGTGTAGCAATAACTTTCTAAAATATTTACATTAATAACATTTTTTATATTATATGAAATTTCTAATCCCAAATAGGCATTTTTGTTCAAAATTGACAGATTACCTACAATATAATTCATAGTAAAAAAAGTTGGTTATATCACTTTTCTCTGAAAGATATTTAAATAGCTGATAAAAAAGAGGTGTTATTACTTTTATTTCTAGGTTTTATATGTATTGCAATAGTTCACTTTAGATTAGGATTGCATGTGTTTTTATTTTCTAATTATATTTTTAAGAAACTTTATATTTGAATCTATGTTATAACAAAAAGGGTTATTTGTTTTCCTTCTGTTTAGCATACCATTGCCAAGGAAAATGCTCTTTTTGACTTCCGGAGACCGGACATACCTCCTCTACTCTTGATTCTGGATCGAAAATCTGATGCAGTCACTCCACTCTTAAATCAGGTTCATTGTAAATTTTGTACACATATGATTTTCTGTGCTAAGTTAAAAACAAAAAATTCCAAAATTGTTTAAAAATAATATATTTGATGATCATTAAGTTAGATTTAAGATTATAGATCTAGTATTATATTCAATGATTTCATTTAATAATTATTTAATATTTTTTGCACCATTTCAACCAAACGTATGTCTACTTAGATTATTCAAAATCTTGCTTGGTAGTTGCAAAATTTTAAAATTAAGAACATTATTGCGATGCGTAATTTCAAAATTATAGTTTTGGTCATGATGATTTTAGACTAACGATTAAAACAAATTTTTATTTGGTTTTAGCTACCATGCATATCTCCTATCACAACTTACCAGGTGCCATGGTGTCTCTTATTAATGTGATTCATGTGAACGTGCCACAAATTTAACAGGCGAAGAAAGAACAATTTTATTATTCTTAGTATTCTAGTGAAATAATTAATTATTTCAGTAACTGCAAGTAGTCTTCAAGAATCATGGTGGCTCAGGGGATAGAGCATTCGCCTTCGAATGAGGTGAATCGGGTTTGAATCCCACCAATGGCTGGTCGATACGAATCCACATCCGGCTTGCACCGACCACAGCGCTGGCTTGAAATATCCTTAGTGGTAGACGGATCACGGGATAGAGTCCCTTTGCCATTAGACTAACTTTGGGAGATTCTCGTAGTCTTCCTCTCCATGTAACGCAAGTGCGGGTTGGATCCATCAATAAGTCTTCCACGAGGGCAAAATTTCTCCCAATGCTTGATCCAAGAATTCTCTTGTCTTCTGGATTGGATTAAAAATTACAAGGCTACGGAGTTGAACATTTGAGACAGAGTTGGCAAGGTTTAGGACAGAATGGATTAATCCACTGTTTAAACCGTCCTTTCCAAACCTGTCTTAAACTGTCCAAAACCCTTTTACTCCAAATATGTCACAATTTTATGTGAACAATATTTAAAAGGTAAAATAAATGTAGAACTAATAACATATTGATAATTAAATCTACTAGAGAATATTTGTTTTTAAAAGTACAATGTTTTATTAATATTGTTTGACTCTTCAATTTAAACATTAAACAAAAGAAGATTAATCAGTAATCAAGTTCAATTAGTCCTCTTAACATTCGATAGCACATAACTGAAGTTTGACCTTGCCATACAGGTTAAGCTATTAGGGACTAAGAAAGTGCTTGGTTAGTCATAAACAGGTTTATTTATCTATAGTACTATTCAAGAATACTTTTATTTCATTCATGTTCAATTCTTTTTGCATAGTGGTGATACATCACCGGTGTCAGTAACCGAAACTGGTGTTATGCCCTTCAAAACTGTTAATACATTTTTCAAGTTATTTTGTATTTCCAATTGAAACTAATATATTTATATTTAAAAACAATTTTTTTTTTAAATAGATGTCTTTTTTATCATCCTGTAATGCAGAAATTATAACATTTTTTTAAAAAAATATTGTGAAAAATAGAAGGTTAATTTTTGAACAAATTTATTATTTTTAATATTGCATTATTTATCCTTATGCAAGAACATAATTTATCAGTATTAAAAGCATATTTATATTTAAAGGATAAGGTATTCACTTTTATTGTTCAATGAATTGTGGAGCTTCAAAAATTATAAACCTTTTCCTATTATATTATATTATTTTTCTTTAATAAGTTGAAGTAAATTGTATAAAAAATATCAAATATTTATTGATATATGTAATTATTATGTGTACAATGGTTACACTTATAGAATTTTACTTTTTATGAATGTTCAAGGTTTTGGACACTTTAAGACAGTAAAACCCACATGTCCTGTCCAAACCAGTTTAGGGCGTCTGAAACCCCAACCCTGATTAGTAGTCGTAAACCCAAAAATGGGGCCGGCTGTTCAACGACGGTTATAATATAAAATAGAAAGTAACCTTTGAGGTATAAGGTAAGGATTTGCTCTGGCAAGGGCAAGTAAATGTTGCCAATTTAGTTCGTTATTTAGAAATTAGGCATGAATTAAGTTAAATGAATGGGAAAACGGATCATAATTCAAATCAAGTATATTAATAGAAAAATCTTGACTAATACAAAATAAGTAACGATAAATACACACAGTGCAATTTTTCATCACAATCATTTTAAAACTTTTAATAGGTGCACCTGTTTGATAATAGTTAAATAAGTTGTCTAAAAAAACAATGCCTAGAATCAATAAGGAAACAGCTGTTTTCATTACCACACACATTATTACAATTTTAGACAGAAATTATCTAATGTCGAAAATGTAACTGAAATTTTTAAGTCAACTAAGAATTACTGCTTAACATTTTAATAATTTAATGGAATATTCTCAAAAAAAATTTGTAAAAAGAAGAAAAATTACAAAATCCTAATGAAAAATAATTGTATACTAGAGAAATTTTTGCATGTCTAATGTATTTTAGCATCTAAAACGGTAATTTAATTAAATACTGTAGTTTAGACTGTAACTGGACAAATAAACAAATTATATAATAAATTTAAGAGGATTTTAATTTCAATACAAAACACAATCTGTTTTGGTCAGTGATGCCCTAATTTTTAAGTCATTTAATTCTGTGACCTCAGATATAATGTAACCAAGATAACCAAATAGTATATAATATAACCAAATTGAAAAAAAAATTAGTTTTTCTTATGTATTTTTATTATTATTGTTGCTTTTTATTTTAAATTCTTGTTTTTTTTTAAAGAATATGGCTATATTGGTAAATTGTATGATAAATCTATATTTGTAAAATTTAGCCCTTTTTACTTTGAACTCTATTACTCTGTTAAACTTTAGAACTCTATTTACTTTTCTTTAAACTTTAGTTAATGTTAAGGTACATATTTTTCTTTACTTTTCATACTTTCTGATAGACTTTTTTTTTGTATTTTCTAGTATAATTAGTACTCATATACTTTGTATTTGACTTAAACAGTATTATTTATTTATTTTTATTTTCAGTCAATAAGTATACTGCTGTACTGTGTTTAATTGTTGTTAGTTTTTACCATATATTTTCAAAATAATTCATTTCCAATATTTAACAAATTTATTTTACGGTAATTTGATTGAAAATAAAAAGAAATTTCCCGTGAGAAACGGAAAAATAATAACTGACTGTATAACTTAATTATAAATATTTTGAACTCTAATATCTAATTACTTTCATAGTGTTCTACTATATTACAAGATTAATATGTAATATTATTTGCTATTTTATCAATTGTTTTGAAGTATGTTTTTTCCATTTTCTAAAGAAGTTTATATTGAAATTCTATTTTAGTGGACGTACCAAGCTATGGTTCACGAGTTGCTTGCAATCAACAACAACAGAGTCAATCTATCCAATGTTCCTGGAATCAGTAAAGAACTTCAAGAAGTTGTTTTATCCCCAGAACATGATGAATTCTATGCTTCTGTAAATCAAATTATACCTTTTTTATTACCTGTTTTTTACTTTGTAGCCTAAACAGCCATTTGCATCAACATCATTATATTGGGATAAAGAAAATTTACTTTTAAAAAAAACTATATGGTAGCATTAAATATTTTTATGCATGCATTTTATTAAAACAATTGAGACATTATTTGAATTGGGATGTATGCATGAGCATGTATCTATATCTTATGTGGTGAATTGGGATTTTTTTGCTTAGAAATTTTATATTCCTTCCTTTACAGAATTTATATTCAAATTTTGGTGAAATTGGTGTGAAAATAAAAGAGTTAATGGATGATTTCCAGAAAAAGACTAAGAGTCAGAAAAAAGTCGAATCTATTGCCGATATGAAAGTATGTAATTTTATTCATCTATCAAAATTGATTTATTCCCTTTATTCTTATTCTCATTATTATTTTAATTTTAACTTACTTTCTCCTTTTTCAAAAAAATAATATTTACTGTTTCCATTGTTTATTTTGTTTTCTTATTTAATGAAATAAGTATATTGACAAATATATTAAAAAATAATGAGTAACATAGCTAATCAAGTTATTGAATTATTAATTATATTGCATACTGTTTGTTATATTCTTTATATAAAACTTTATTGTAAATATACTGATAAAAATATGAATTTCCTTAATTTGAAAGTCTAATTATCTTAAAATCTAAAAAATATGCTGAACTTAAAGAAAAAAACTGTCTATTATAATTTAAGTCAACAAATCCAATTTATATGAGATACATCCTACGAAAAATAAATAGATATGAATTAATTTCATGTACTTAAACTAATTAGCTAAGTAACATATTTGCTAACATTTATTGATTCTAAAATTTAATTTGTTATTTTATCTGTTTTAAAATTCAGTCATAAAATAAAATTTTACATTAATTCTTTAAAAAAATAACATCTTTAATTTCTTCATTTTAATTTATCTTTCAATTTTTTTTTTTAATTTTTTGAAAATAGCAAGACTATACAGTTTGCATTATGCTACTTCAAATTCATTAATAAATTTCAATTTTTATAGAACTATTACCATTTTTTTTCTTTTAAAACCGTTTTTTTAAAACCTTATTTCAAAATGAATTCTTTTTTGCTATTTTAGTTCTTTTTTATACAAGATGTTCCACATTGACTGCTTTTAATATATAGTTTTAAAATTGTTAAAAATATTTTTAAAAAGAATTTTTCCAAACTTTGACAAATCATTATTGAAGTCTGTAAAAGCAGTGGTAAAATTAAAGGAATCAAAATTTTTTAATTACTTCAGTGGCACTGGAACAAAAGTTTAGATTTAAATTATTTTTTATTCCTCTTTACATTTTATTGAGTTCAATTGTGATTTGTTGTAGCTTGAAACCTTTTTTTCCCCCTACATTTTAATTATAATTTTTTACATTTATGATTTTTTTCACTACATTTGTGGCACAGATTTTTAAGATGTGTCTTAAGGGCAGTTACTATACAACATTCTGTATAGATTGATGTGTTCATCATAAAATATAATTATGCTTTCTTCTTTTAGGCATTTGTGGAAACGTACCCACAGTTTAAGAAAATGTCTGGTACTGTTTCTAAACATGTGACTTTAGTTGGGGAGCTCTCGAGATTAGTTGGCAGCCACAGTCTCCTTGAAGTATCAGAGGCAGAACAAGAGCTTGCTTGTGAATCAGATCATGGAGAATCTCTAAAGGTAATTTAAGTTTATTAATAACTTATGAGGCTTATCAGCTTACTACTTGTGATTTCAGTTAAATGATGACTAAATAATAAGCCAAGGCATAAATTTTTAAGACAAGATTGTTGTCCAAATACATAACAGTTAATATTAGTGAGTACCTTTTAATGGATGATATTATAGTTCTGAATGTGTTTGGTAATATTTTGTATTTGATATCAGTGTATATAAGCATTTGGAAATATTTTACTTCCACTTGAAAATTTTGATATAGTTAAGAAACTATTAAATCATTAAAATATTTATCAGTTACGTGTGGCAAACATTTAAATGTGTAATATGAATTGTTTCTATTTAGCTACAATTCTTAAAATAACTTAAATGTGTTATCTTCATCGATTTGGTAATAAAAACAATTGCTAAATTCATTTCACAAAGCTAAACTATATTTATGGGCATATTTTTTCAAATATTCATTGTATACACTTTATGAATTTTCATCATCATCATCATAGTTGGCCAGACAGCCCAATGTGAGCCAATGCCTTCCTCTGAAGATTTCTCCACAACGACTTCCGATTTATCTTTGATCTCCAGTTTTTTTAATTAATTGCTAGAGAATCAGACTCCACTGAGTCAGCCCATCTGACAAGAGCTTCCGCGCTTTTTTCTTTCCAGTGGATCTAAAAGCAGTATCTTTTTTATTGTGTTGTCGTTCCTCATTCGAATCACGTGGGCGATCCAATTCATTCTATTTATGTTTATGTATTTAATAATATCAGGTTGTTTATAAATCTTGTACTGTTCAAAGTTAAATCTCCTTCTCTAGTTATTGTTTTTATTTACACCACCAAGTATACCCCGCGAAATCTTTCGCTTAAAAATTGCGATACAATTTTTCTCCAGTTTTGTCATTGTCCAACTTCAGAGGCGTATGTCAAGACTGGCCGGACAAGAGTTTTGTAGATTAAGAACTTTGTTTTCCTAGAAGGAAACCTAGATTTAATAAATCTTCTCAGCCCATAGACAGCCCTATTCGCCAAATGGAGTCGGTTTTTTATTTCAGGAGTAATTCTGTTGTCAATGGTAATAATTGATCCTAAGTAAATAAAACTCCTCACTGTTTCATATCTATAAGAATTTATTTCAAGGTAGGGGTCTGAGACTCTGTTTCTTGAGAATAACATATATTTTGTTTCATCTACACCTTTATGAATTTTAAGTTTTTATAAAACTTTTAAAGTTGTGTGTTGTAAAATATACCTTGAAATTTATAGAAACTATTTTTTTTTTAATTCTGACTGAGAATATTTTTTATTTTTACTTTTGAACTTAATGTTGCTGTTGCCTTGTCTATATCAGTGCTAAATCTGGATGAAAAATAAAGGATGAGTTTTGCAAGTTTTTAAACTTAATGAAATCTTTCTATGCATGTAAAATACAAGGACGTCACCCAATCATAGCTTGAGTTATTAAATGTGTAGTGTTTAAGATCCTGTATTAATTTTTTCGAATAAAGTTGTACAATTCTGTTATCAACAGTTTTTTTTTGAAGGGCAGTTAAATAGTATACAGTTATTTTAGACTTCTGATAAATAAACTTGTTTCTGTATAAATAGCTTTAAAAAACTTTTTTTAGTACCCTCTTAGTCAGCTTTCGTTAGTTTAAACTAGAATCAAATTAGATTTTAAAGCATCTATATACTGACTAATGTGCAGTTTTAAATTACTTACTCAAAACTACAATTCATATAACTTTTAATTCTTTAAAGTTTGAAGGAAAATTCCATTGAAGTTCTAAATATTATAAAGCTCTATTAATTCTAAATGAATAAAATAACCCCTTTATTTTCAACCTTTTTTTAAAAGGTATTGTGCTGTCAAATAATCGTATGTAATCATAAGTCCAAAAAAAAATCAGGAAAACACAAATCAAAAAGGCAAAATGACAAGGGTAGAGGTGTTGGAGGATTTTAATGCGCTCTGCTTTAGTTACTGCTAAATTCTTCGTTAAGTTATGCTTCAGAACATTCACATTGTTAGATTGGTTTGATTTTAAAATATAGCTAATATAATATTCTTCTTTCAGTTATGCTTCAGAGCATTCACATTGTTAGATTGGTTTGATTTTGCAATATGGCTATGAGTTAAAAGACTTGTTTACAAATTTAAAACATTTTCCTTAAATGCCATGTTCTTAGTACAGCAGACAAAGTTTTTCGTTATGACAAATTAATTTTTTCTTTAGGAGCATTAAAAACCACTTTTATTAGCTGGGAATAAATGAGTTTTGACCTTTCTTGAACACTTGATTGAAGAAGTTAATAAGTGGGCTCAAGGAGATTATCTTATCCTTTCTGTAGTAGGCATTTATTTGATCATGCGGTCTTTTTTAACTTTGAATAAATTTTAAGCTGCTATAGAGTTAATGCTAGTCTATCTAGCTACTCATTATTTCATTGAATAATAATATGTTGATCAAGATAATTTCCTATGTATTATTTCATTGGTTATATTTAATCCATTTTAGTTCAAACAACAATATTAATAGTTTTATATCAAAAATTTTTGATTTAGGATAAAGTTTATAGTTTTATTTGTTCATTTTACCTTTACAACAACCATATTAATATTTTTATATCAATAAATTTGATTTAGGATATCGTTTATAATTTTATTTGATTTTCAGAAAATCAGGAAGCTGCTCGGTGATGATAAAGTTAGAGAAATTGATGCCGTGAGACTTGTTATGCTATATGCTCTTCATTATGAAAAAAATAGTAATAACGATATCAATGGACTGATTACTCTCTTAAAGAAAAGGAATACAAATGAAAAACTCGTTAAGGTATAGAGTTTTCTTTCTCATATTTATATCCAATAAAATGTAATATTTGTAATTGGAATAGATTTGTTTCAAAAGTTGATGTATTAACCCTTTAATCATTAAAGTAAAGCTAGCAGTTTTGGGTGTTCTAAACTAATATTGAGCAAGATACGTGGAATTTCCGTCCTCAAAATATGTTAAAGTGTACAAGGCCTTTTAAATATATATCTCAATACATTTAATTGCAAATATTTTTATTAATAAAAAATAATTTTTAGTTTTAAACTCCACCCAAAGATTTGTAGCATAATATTAAAATTATTTAGTAATATATTTCCAAGGCAAGATTTCCAATTAATAATGATAGCAAAATTTATAGGCTTTTGTTTTTTATCATAATTCACTTAAAACATTACACTTTCTAATTTTATTTGTTTAAATGGAATTTTTTTTTTCTGTAGCTTTTTTTTGTAATAATATTTTAAGATGTGGATCCTCTCATTTAATAATATTTTAATTCATAGGGTTTTTGATCTTGTTTTATTGTTTAACTCTAATATCTCAAATTTTTTATTATTGTTTAATTATAACTTCCAGCTTTGAAGAAATTTTTTTGGCAGTTTAAGCAGTTTTGAAAGTACGGACTTAGGTCAATATGGTTAGAACCATAGATTTTTCTGTGAATTCTATACATATTCCTAAGCCTCGCCAACCCTGGTGATGACTCTGTACAATTTGTATGTAATTTAATCTACTTTGCACCGTTAAATGACACCGAGCTAAACCAATCTTTGTAAATCAACTCTTTGAGGAAGTAAGAAGCTTCAGAAAAAGCAACACTCTGGGAAATAAAAAATCTGTTAGAAAATCTGATTTATTAATATTTTTATACCATTTATTGTTAGTATAATAGTGAAATATAAATAATATTAAAATGTCATGTTACCCAATTATCGTTTTTTTGTTGAAATACACAGAGGGATTTGTATGTGATGCTGTATAGTAACTCTAATATTACAGATCTGTTCTAAAATATTCTTTCTGTGCATTTATATTTAAAGATATCGTTTATATTTTGAGTTTAAAAGTTTTCAGTCAACAATAAAAAAATCAAACTATAAAAATTAAGTTTTTGAAAAGTGGGGAATAGTTACAGTAATCAAGTTCAAATTTTAGTTTTTTATTTAATCAACAAAGTCTTATTAATTTGAGACTGACTTTTTAATTGTATTATTGTTATGATTTAATAGTAATTTTCATGATTTTAATGATTTTAAAGTAAATACTTTTAATTGTTTTTGTCAGCATGAAATAATTTAGCAATGCTATGCTTCTTTTAAGAGACTTAATATTTGACATTTTATCTATTTAATAAGACGTCAAATGCAGTTGCAGTCAATGGTTGCAGAATTGTTATAACATGGTGCATAAAAAGCCCTTAAAGATGCTTTTTTTCATTGGGTGTTTTTTAAAAGCCCTTAAATGTGCTTTTTTCATTGTTTTTAAAAAGTGCTTAATTTTCCATTTTCGAAAATTAGATTTTTTTTTACCATGTCTATTTTTGCCATGTATTATGCAAAAGCATGCTTTTCACATTGTTCTATTCAACACTTTCACAATTCATTCAACCACAATCCATTTTATCTTTCCGTCAGCCCATAGCATATAAAATCGCCAATTCTGTAACATGTTTGATGAAATACTTCTGAGTCCACGTGTGTGTCTACTGATCTGGGTTCGGTGAGATTCTTGCACTCTCATGTGCAACTCTGGTGCATTTTGCAAGATATTCTCAATTTCAAGCTTCATTTTTCACCCCCTGATATCGAACCGAAAAATACTCCTGATCATTTTATAATGGATAATTATAATCAAGAAAAGAGTTCTTTGACAGAAACTTATCATGATCATGTAAAAGTCTTTGAAAATTATTTTGCATTTTGTTAATGTATATAGTACTTAAAAATATTTTTTGAGTGCTTAAAAAGTACTGAAAAGGTGCTTATTTTTTGTTGAACGATTTGGCTACGCACCCTGTATAATTTAAAAATGAATGTGTTATTGAGAGACATTTAAATTTGCAACCAACAAAGTTTATCCCTTCAGTTTGGTCCTGTGAATATTTTTTTTTGTTGCTTACATTGTAGTAGATTCTTTATGAGTATCTACTTTTTGTCAATATTTCTTTACATTAGGTAAATTAATAAATTGTACTTTCAGATGGTGCGAGCTCTTTTAGAATTTAGTGGCAATAAAAGTGGGCGTAATGATCTGTTTACAACTGAAAATGTCAAAACATTTACAAAAAGAGTTATAAAAGGTTTGAAGGTAAGGTGATTTATTGATTGTGCATTTTATGTGTAACAAAATATATCTCCAGATTGTCATTCTAAAATTTTGTATTTGCAGGGTGTCGAAAATATATACACTCAGCACACTCCACTACTTAAAGAAATACTGGATGAAATTTTAAAAGGAAAATTAAAAGAAACATCCTATCCATACTTGAGTGGCACGCAACTCAGGGAAAAGTAAGTGCTAAAATCATTCATCATTAGGGTTTAGGCCAGTAGGGCGACATGTTGACAATTGACGCTAACTTTTCTACAAATGTTGCTAAAATCATACTTAACGGCGACAAAATTGCTGTCTTGAAATATGTTTGAAATTTACAAAATAATAACAAAAATTAGTTTTTTACCTGTAATTCAATGCATTTAAAAAAATTGTGTATTCATATATTCAATGCCATAATTTTAATTTTTTAATATTATTCAATAGGTTAACAAAGTATTATTTAAGTGTGCAAATATGATTTGGAATATAATTTAGACAATAGTATGTATAAATGTAATTTAGACTTAATTAAAACAAGAAACAATTTATGAAAACATTAAATAAATACAGTGATGTGCAGATCGTCGGAATTGAGAAAATTGTCCTCTTAGCTGAAAGGCATGCTAATTGAAAAACCTAATTGCTATAAACTGTCTTAACTAGATTGATATAATTAATTAATTACATAATTAACATTTAAAGAATTACAGTAATAATTGTTTAAACTTTTATGAAATAATAAGGGCATTTTGCAGCAAATTGTATGAAATTCATTCTATGTACTGCTTACATATTTATTAACATATTAGATTTTGTATTGATTCAGAAAGAAAAAAAGATTTAATAAAAGTCTGTTTTTAATGATTTTTACTCATTAGCTTGCATTTACAATCCATTTAATAATTTAACTTCAATTTCTTCACTTTTGAAGAGATATGATTAAGATCATAATTTATGTCACATGATTTTTTTTTTAAATTTATTTAAATCAATGTTATTAAAAAAAATCATTTACTCAACTGACTAAATCCCTGGAAAAAAATTGTCAAGACTAAAATATTTTATGATATTGCAATATATTTAATACATTATGATTATACATGTGATTATTTTTATTTTTTAAAGTTTGATTTCATTGATAATGAAAGTTTTTTACTATAAAATAAGAAAAGGGATATGCATGTAAATTATTATGTTTCAAAATAGATTAAAAAAGATTTAAAAAAAAAGAAAAAATTAAAATTATTGAGATTAAAATTAAATAGTTGAGCTTGAAAAAATTAATTATGATTTTATTTATTCAGTAATTAATTTTTAATATTTATATAATTTTAACCATTTTAGTAAGAAATATGAACTATTTTAGCTATAATATTGTTTTTAAATGATATTCAGTATTAATTATACTTTTTATTAGAGATTCTTTGGTTGGTTAATGTAAAAAAAAAAGCAAATTAACACTTTAAAGACCGTCAATTTTGCACAGAAATTATGTCATGGGACCATCTATTATTTTGTAGTTAAATATAGAAGTAAACTGAAACATTCTAAATATTGATTTTAAACCCGATCATTGATCAATGAGGAAATTACGAGTGTAATGAAAATTTTACTCGCCGCAGGTCAACTATGTGTTAAAATCAGGATTTTTGCTATTCTTGGTCGTATGAGATCTCAAATAATTTTTTTAAAATCAAACAATCATATTTAAACTATTATTGAAAATTCTATTAATGAGTTACTATTGAATGGTTCTGAATTCAATTCATAATGTGAAATGTATGTGTGTTACCTAAATGATATGTGTTACCTACCAAAAGTATGATGTGTGTTACACACACTGTGTCTATACCTACCTGTAAGGCCTCCTGCCCCAATGAGCTTTTTGTAAAAGAGGATTGTTGCAATGGTCAGTATGATCATACAATAATCCAATCAATCATTAGGAGGGTTCATGCCAATCTGACCACAATTGTCGCCAAATGTTGTACTTATCTTGCTAAAATCAAACGCATGGGCAACAAATTTGTCACCTTGAAATATGTTTGCAATTTGCATAATCGGAACAAAAATAATTTGTAGCGAATTCGATTAATTTTTAAAAAAAATTTTTTAACTGTGAGATATTCTAAAAAATTAAGGAGAGTGTATGGTACAAAAAAATTTAAAACTTGAAATTTCAAATTTAGATGTGCTGTTGTTTGCCTTTATGTACTGACAGCATAGTTGTGCATCAAATAAAATAATATTTTTTGATCATTTAGAATTAACTTTTGTTAGTTTTTACTTCCTCTGTTTTCCTCATTTATTTATTAATTCATTTGGTTTTCATTGGTATTTTATCATTTTAATCTCTTTTTTGAATCAATTTAATAATATTATTTTAGTTTTATTTTTCATTCAATTTTAATAAATATTAATCTTTATTCATTGTGGGGTAAAGAACTTATTTAGTTGTATTATTGATGGCAATAATAATTTTTTATGTGTACCATTACATAGATTATTGGTTTTGGAGATTTGGTTTTAAAGAAAACTAATAAAACTTGGTTAGGATCAAAAATATTTGCAATAATGTTGAAAGTTTTCGGGAAGCTGAGAATAATTTTTTTAATAAATTGAGTAATAATGTTTTTCCTTTTAATTTTTGTAATGTTAATTTTTAATTAAGAAAATGATTGAAGAATTCTAGGTTTTTATATATTTTTTACTTTTAACAGGGCGCAATTCAAGTCTTAACTGAGCAGCCCCAGTTAAGCATTCTATTAATTTGTTACATGTCTTTTTCTTGACTTCTTTTATTTTCTATCTGCGCATTGTAATAGAGGGCATTGTTTTCTTTAGTTTTTAGTGTTTCCTTTTCATTCAGCTTGCTTGTGAAATCGCTGTTTGACCTGGTTAAGTGAGTTTTTATTTTCTGATGATTTTGTTTGAGTTTCTTTTCTAAATTGGTTATTTGTATTTCATGTTTTTTTCCTGGACTTCTATACAAAACCATCGGGGTACTGAGGGAGTTAATTTAGGCATTTGCTTCTCCCTCAATAGAAATGGTTTTGTTTTATGGCTACCGGGGCCGGTACCAATGAAGACGTCGGCTTCGGTGGTCATACTTATATATTTTTTTTATTTCCTTTGTTTCCTTTATTGCTACTTTTATTCTTTTTTTGAAATTTCTGCTGCTTTTTAGCTCGTTTTTTTCAAGGAAGTTTTATCTATTTAGAATTTTAAAAAAATTTTGTTTTCTTTTAGTATAACATGGATTATGTAATTGTGAAGTTTGAATTTTTATTCAAGTTTGTCTACCATATTAGGTTTTTGGACCACTAAAGGATGACCTAGGTACTAAACTTTCATAGCTGGTGGGAATATTAATCATTAGTCAAACTCATTAAAAATGTTTTGCAACTTACAGACAAAAACTTGTTCCTCTCCTTGTTTCTCATTATTTTGCTCATGAAAACACCCATACCTATGCAATATTTTTTTGCAAAAAAATGACAAAGTATAATTTATAAAAACAGGATTTGTCTGGTTGAATTCTTGAGAGGGATTTAAAAAGCTTTTCTAAATGCAAATTACTGTCCATAACCAATTAAGAAGGCATTTGTTCTAGGTAGAGGGTATATGATGGTTTATTCATAAAGGATTACTTGTAAAAATGTAGAAAAAGATCTTAAACAACAGCCAGATCATAACATCTGTCTGGCAAGCTAACAACCTGTTAAGCTTACCACCTCGCATGTTGATCACCAAAGTTGACTTTTATAATCAAATATCAAACTGACTAAATGAATTAAATTCCCCCTTTATAAGATAACAACTTGTCTAATTAAACCAATAAATTGTCTTACAAGTAATCAACTTACTCAGGTTTTGTCATTTTTTGAATTTTTATTGGCTCTCTGAGAAACACCTGTTAGTTTCATTCATAATCAATCATATTTTAATTTCTTGCAGACCTCAAGATATAATCGTGTTTTACATTGGTGGTGTCACATATGAAGAATCTTTTACTGTACATCAGATTAATAAAATGTGCCTGGGAGTCCGTGTTATTCTTGGAGGAACTACCATTCACAACTTCACCAGGTATAGCAGACATAATTTTTCTTGCTTAGTCAATTGTATTGTAAAAACTGGGGGGTCAGGGAATAAAGTGCTCGCCTCCCAATGAATTGAACCCGGTTTGAATCTCAGTGACGGCTGGTAGATAGGAATTCCGCACCCGACTTGCACCGACCACAATGCTGAGGTATAATATTTTCAGTGGTAGGTGGATCATGGGTTGGAGTCCCCATGCCGTCAGACTAACTGTGGGAGGTTTTCCTCTCCATGTAACGCAAATGCAGGAATTTTTTGAGTCCCATCAAAAAATTTCTCTGAGTACTTAATCCAGGAGTTTACAAGGCAACAGATATAAACATTGGTGGTAGTTAACTCAAAATTAGGTCAGTTGTTAATCGATTTATGATAAAAGCATAAATAAAAACCATATTGTATTTTTAGCATGAAAATAAGTTGAGCTCTTTTTATACTGTTATTTTTTTATTTTTTTATGCATTGTTTTGAACCACTGTACAATGTTTCAAGACAAATTTCTGTTATATGACACAAAGTAAAAATAATTATCTCATTGCTTTCTATTTTAAGTAAAACATAAATCATTTTTTAATTGTATTTCTTAATTATTTTAATTAAATTTGAATTGCTGCTTTAACTTTTCTTTTGTTGATTTTAAGATTGTTTTAGTTTAATGCACTTTTTTATGAATAACTTTAATTCAAAAATTTGGATAATAAAGATACTGTTTATCATATGATATATTTTACTGCTATAATCATGTTTGCGAAAAATGTTTTTTAATGGATCGAAATGATTTATCTAATTATTAATATTATTCAGTTATAAAGCCAAATATATGTTGTATCTAAAACCATTTCTTTAAGATTATTTGTTATTGCTTAGTTAATAGTAATATATAACCTTTTTAATATTGAGGTGTACAAATTTTTGTATCATTTTTGAATTTAACAATTTTAAATAGCAAAGTGCAAAATTTAATTAAAGTTTGTTAAATAGTTCGACAGAAATAAAGATGAAAAAATACAGCTTTTTTGAAATCTGATCTCTCAGAAAGTAATTGGCAGATTTCATTCAAATTTTGTATTTTATTTTNTAACTAAAACTTCTACAATATTTATTCCAGTTAAAAGTTCTTCCCAATGAATTTATGTCATTATGTTAAAGTCAAATAAATTTTAAAAAATTAAATAAGCTTTTGCACTTGCAAAAGTTTATTACTTGAGTAAAAATGTATCATCAGTTTTTTTGTGAAAATTAAATAAAACATATTAAAAGCATATTTAGAATTTTCCGTCCCTTTAGAAAGGCGAGCTCGGTTGAGAGAAAGGAAGGACAAATCCCTAGATTATATAAATCTAACCCCAATTATTGCTTTCATTCATGTTAACACTCCACATTTGAAATACCAATTACTTTACTGTTATTTTAAATCTAATTTCACGAAATATTAAGTAAGAATTTTTTTTCTCCATTCAATTATGCTGTGTGTCTTGCCAAGCTTTTAGAAAATGCTATATGTTATGTTCAAAACACTGAGTCATTTGTATATTATTGTATTAATACATTCCCTTTTCTTGGTATTATCTCTAACACATTTTTTTATCCAAGTTGGTTTAATTGGTATGTGTGTACTTAGAGCTGTTAAAACCATTTCTGTTTATATCTAAAATAAAATTGAAATTTTCTTTTTTAAAAATTCAACTAGTTTTTATTTTTAAAAAATTAGGTTAATTTTCTTTTTTGGAAAGAATTACTGTTGCTTGTAATATTACTGTGTAATAATTTATGGAAATATTTTGAAAAATCTATTTTCATTTTTAATTATGTTGACATAATTTACTGGCAGTTCAACTTTAAATGACATTTTATTTACTGGTATTATGTATATCTGATATTTAAAAAAGATAATAAAAGATTGTTTGCTGATATTTTTGTTTTAATGTATTCTTTTTCTGCATGTAGATGTATGGAGATATTTTGTTATACTAAATGTATCTATTACATATGTTAACATTCAGTTTTGATTAATGTTTTGATTTATATAAACAATAATAGGCTTAAATGAATAAACTAATTCACGGGGCTAGTGTGGCCATGCATGCTCATATTAAGTTTGCTGGGATAATATGGATTAATGGCTAACACACCATTTATAAGGTTTTTTGTTTACAAAGTTAGACTAATTTTGTATAGTACTTAATTTACTTACAAATTTTCCCAACATTTTGGGTTTTTGTTTGTTTAATTTTATTAATATTTGTACTATGATTAATTTAGTAAAATTAATTTTATAGCATATTTTAAATTTTTTTTCTGATTAAAAAAATTTTGGTTACTGGAAGTATTTCATTATTCTTATAATGATTATAATGTATACACTTGTGTCATCCTTTTTAGAGGTTCTTCCTCAAGATTGACTTTCAATAAAATATTGATTTCGTGAGCAGCTTAATCAATCTAAATGTTAAATTGTGCTTAAATGTTTAAAAAAAATTTTTTTTACTAAAAAAAAGAAGGTTAAAAATAGATTTCTAATATTTTTGCAGAATTTTCAACAGAGTTCAGTTTTTTTTCAATTAATATTTATTTAGGCTGGTATTATTCAAAAACTTATAAATATTTATGTAATTAAATTTATAAATTTGAACTCTAAGAACCATTTATTTGATTTTGATTAGACATGAATTTTATTTTCTTTTTGTGGATTAGAATTTAAAATGATAGAATCAGTTTTTTAGCTGACTTAAAGTCGAGAGAGGGAGACAAATCATTGAATAACTGATTAAATAATCGGATTTTTACTTTTCCTGATATTTAATATTTACTTTTCAATAAATACACCGCCTAATATGCTAATAATTGCAAGTAAATAATTAGAATTCGAAATCAGAAGCATACCTTATTAACCGAATAAGCATATCTTCTTCATGGACAGAGTTAAATTCATGGATGTCGTGTTTGTCCAAATTTTTGAGGGGGACAAAATTAAAGTACTAAGTCACACCATAATTAAATATATATTATCAAAAATGTCTTTTTGTTAAGTAAGTTAAATTTGATTATACTTACTTTTTATAAATAATAGATTTCATAATTTTATGACTAATCAATGCTTGCCCCGTGTTTTGAAGCTTGTGTGGACGTAAGCAATTTTAAAGAGAAAGACTAATTTAAAAAATATGCAACTGAATTATATTTTGTATCATTCAAAATGAAGAATAAAGTTTTAAATTTTAAGAATTAAAAAATATGCGACTGAATTATATTGTGTGTCATTCAAAATGAAGAATAAAGTTTTAATAATTAAAAAATATGCAACTGAATTATATTTTGTGTCATTCAAAATGAAGAATAAAGTTTTAAATTTTAATAATTAAAAAATATGCAACTGAATTATAATTTGTATCATTCAAAATGAAGAATAATGTTTTAAATTTTAAGAATTGCTAGATATATTCAAAATGATGTTAGGTAAAACTTTTCGAAAATTATTTAAATAGCCCCCTCCGTCCCTTCATTTAATTACATGAAAAGAATGTTATTTTAGAACTTGTTTTTACTTAAACATTCTTGTCTGCGAAATTTGTGTTCATATATGGGATTATTCAATCATTATGTAAGCTCCTGGGAAATGTGCAAATATTACGAGGAACTCATGCAAAATCTTCAATTCCCCAAATGAGAAAAAAAGATTGCAATTTTTAAAATAATTTACTATGTAAAATATATTAAAATTGCTCATTTTTCTGTTTTAACATTCCTTCTCGCTCCTGTGAAAATGATGGGGTGAGTTTTCGCTCGCTACTTCTCACTTCCGTGATAGTGACGGGCTGGAGTGTTCAGTAGTAATGCGCAATAAAAATAAAACTAATTCATTTCTTTTGCCCGGAAAACATTTTATTTCTCATTTTCCACACCATATAGCAGTACCAGGATATTTTTAAGGTGATTGTAAATAGTTAGTTTATTTTAAACTAGATAACTAATCAAATACCTGCATTTGGCAAAATAGACACTTTTATGACCGTTTTCTTGAAAATTAACCATTTGTTAAGGGGTTAAGAAGCTTGGGTATAAACAAAAACTCCCCTCAAACTCAATTGCCTAGCCATATCCAAAACTGTTTCCTGGAATACTTTGAAACATATTCTGTCCTGTTTTTTTGTCAATTTTTCTAAACTCGCCTTTTTTTACTGTCCATTATTAACAGTCCATTCAATTAGTAATCAAAATCATTTGTTATCACACTTTTATATCCTCAAGAGGACACTATAATGCGGGTGAAACTTTTCATTGCAAATTCTGTTTCATTTTCATTGGTATTTTCAAGTTTAGAGAAAAGAGAGTTCATGTAAATCAAAGAGAATACCATAAAGTTTTAAATGCTGAGAAAAATGTCTTCAAGATGCAAATTATTGCACCGAGTACAGGCAATATACTTGCTAGTAAAAAATCTGTGGAATCGAATGTCCTCTGGTTAGATGCTGAGCAGTACCAGGGATCTGGAGAAAATTTCCTTCCCCTTCTGATCAATGTCTAAATTGAGGAAGTGGCCTCATGAATGAGTGGTGCTGCCATCTACCCTTGGGGTTTTGAGCTAAAACGTCCTTTCGCCTTTGTGGTGCTCTCTTGTCAAACAAAATTTGCCCCTTCCTGACTTGTTTCCCCAAAAACCGATGGCTGGTGAGCTTGGCTTGTTCAACTGGCAACAACAAATTATTGTAGGATTCCCACTGCATAACTCGTTTGCATTTTGAAATTTTTTTTCTTCAGTTTTTGATCTTTAATGGTTTCCTCTAAGCTACCTGAACTTACTTTTTCAGTACTTACATTTTTAAAAAACCTGAGAGGATTTGCTATTAAGGGTTTCTTCCGTTGCATAGCGTCCTTTTCAACATCTTATAATGATACATTTTAAACTATTTAAATAATGAGGCAGTCAATAAATAATGAGACAGAGAACATTTCATACAATTTATTTAATGAAATTCATTAGTTGTGTCCGCAATCGTTTGGGTATTTATACCATTCTGACATTAGTGGCATAAAGTCCTGTTTAGAAAAAAATGTTTTAACCTTATGCATGTTGATTTCTTCGCTCATTTA